TCTACAAACCGTTTCCATATGTTCCTATATTGCAGCAATGTTGGAAAAATGTCACTACTGAAAGATTCAAGTGCACATGCCCTAGGAATGCTGCAGTAGAGGGCATTTCAAGCGTGGAATTAACTATTGGCGGGGAATTTCGGTTTTATTCCCATATTTTGTCTGCAGGGGATTCCCTTTCACATGAAATATTGAACCTTTGGAACAAAGTGTTAGAATTTCTGTGTTCTTGATTCCATCTGATCATTCATTGACACAAGATTGGAACAAAATACAACCGTCACAATATTTGGGGTTTGCTTGTTATGAGATCAACTGAATTGTATGATAGGCATTACTTAGAAGTTGATGGACGACAAAGTAGAGATAATTTATGGATAACAACTTTACTGTAAAAGGTGATGTTTCGGTATAGAGCCTTAGACCATTGTCAAGCAAGACAGTCAATCTTGCTTGGCGGTATAAGGATCTATACCGAAACGTCGCCTTTACACTAATTAAAGAAATTGTTATCCATAAATTGTGTCTACTTTGTCAAGATAAACTATAAAAAGTTGTTGCTTAGGATGAACGTATGTAATTTTTTTGTTTAAATTTAATAAACAATAAGAGTTAAAGAGAATTAGCAAAGTAATTGAGAATACGTCATGGAATAATATCTCTACTGCAGATTAATACCACCAGGCTGTCCCAAGGATAAATCAAAAGAAGCAAGAGCCTTTAGCACCTAACTGTAAACTGTCCAAAAAATATGAAACTTTTAAGCATAAAAAAGTCTCGAGTAAAGAAGGAGTTTTCAGTGTAGGTAAATGTTGCAGGTAGAGCTCTGTGTGAAACTGAGGCATGTATCTGTGTAATTAGGCTAATCAGTCAAAATGAAATTGATAACATCATGCAGTTTGAGCTAACAGACAAAGAAAGGGTGAATCCAATTTGTTGGAGTAACAATTTGACCCCCTTGAGGTCACAGATCTGTGTTTTCCAAAGATGACCAGGGACAATTCTTCCAAATAGCAGATTTACGTTTAGACATGATCAGTTGATCCGAATTACCAACACATATGAATAAAATGTAAATATTGAATGAATTTCTCCTGCAGTGTAAAGGTTTTAAAAAGGTACGGGGGCACGGCCGGGTGGCCCAGTCGTCTAAGGCGCTGCGATTCACTGTGTAGAGTTGTGTCCCTTGGGCACGCCAGAAAGCTATGATTGTGGGTTCGAATCCTGGTTCGCCACGATTATGTTTCTAGGTTTGTCAGCACCATACCCGTGCTCGTGGATTTCACCGAAGTGGTAAAACATCTGAGATTTGCATCACTTTGGGCTTTCCTCCCACATTAAGCTGACACGCCGTGATATAACTGGAATAATGTTAAAAGCGGCGTTAAACCCAACTCACTCACTCACTCACCCCAAAAAGATACTGAGTATAACCCAACTACACTTGAAACTACATCACCTATCTAAGGGACACAACTCTTGCTCACTACAACTCATGGTAGCCAGTAGTAAACATACAGTGTATTTAAGTACTACCCATGAACCAAACAGCAATATGAAAACCTTAGCAAAGAGGACATGCAATTTTTAAAATGATCCTTTAGAAGCATGGTTAGACAGAGCCTCCTTTAATGAGTACATTGATGCAGTGTTAGATGCTAAAGAGACCCACAGATTTTCTGCAACATCATGTTTCTCTAGACATCCCCATTATCTTTAATTGCTTTGACTTTAATAAGGGTAAGACAACATTTAGTTCCAGAAATAAAGTTATGATATTTAAAAATATATATACAAAATAGAAAATAAAATCCAAATGGAGCACAGAACAATGCTTAATTTGCTGAGGCAATCTAGACTTGCCATCATTCTAGACTTGAGTTGAATTCACTTTTTAATTCATTCTCTAGGGTCTGGGAGACACATAGTTATGACAAGGACACCTTTAATTCTTAAATTTTAAAATTGAATGGAGACACAATGTTCCTTAAAAATGTATTTGAACAGATATTAACAGCCTGAAATTGGTAACTTTTTATCATCTCAATTTTTTCATAACAACCTACCTCCCTTTTAATAAGAGACATGAGGTCATGTCAGGCTTTCAGCCTTTTAAGAAAAACATTTATACATGTATTTTCAAATTGTCATGAAATATTAATGTAGGAATAAAAAGGTACGAACCATATTCCTCATTTTTAACTCCACATGTCCATTCCAGTGTAAGCCTGAAGAGAGTACTGGTGCATACTTCTCACGTGGGATCTGAGGAAGTGTTACACTCCCCTGGGCGATATCTGTCATAATCTTTGATAGAGGAGAGGGAGGGTCAGGTCGCCCTGCAGCACCTGTGTATGCCCTGTAGCATCTGGGGGGATATCATGCTGTATACTCCAGCTGATAGGGGATAAGTATATAGGTAATAGGGTGGACACTGTGCACTAGGAGACCCTTGGGACATTAACTGGGACTTGATGTCTTGAGAATCCTCACTAGATTGGGTAATTTTAATTGGATCCTTTCAAGTGCATTCTCAGAGTTTCATAAGTCATAATTTTCGTGTTTGTGATTTTTGTAAGAAGGGTAATCAATCAAAATGATTAAATTACATTATTAAAAAATTCAATTTAGCCAGTCTGTTTTAAAATTAATCATCTAAGACTTAAACCACATGAATTTTATTGACTTTAATTGCTCCTAGGCACAGATTAACACTTTGTATTGCTAGGAGGCAGCGATAACACAGTTTAAGGCTTGAAAGTCAACGGCTTCCATGCCTAGATGATAGACTGGTTGTATTAAATATTTTTTTGATAGGCATTTAGAAGTTGGAGTACTTATTATAAAGAAGTTGTTCATCCAATAATTCTTATCCTTACTCGTATTAAATATGTCTAACGAATAAGTTGTCAGGAGGCATATATATATATACAGAAAACTGTGTTTATAACAAACATGCTTATAACAAACTGGTGGATATAACATACTGTTTTTTATCCCAGGCATTTGCTGTATATATCCTGAATATCCTGTATATCCTGTTATAACCGTAGTTTACTGTAATAACATGTACAAAATGAAACAGGCCTGTGCCCCGTTCCTCAAAGCGATCTTAGCGCTACGATGATCGTAAGCCTATGTTAAAGTATGGGACTTACGATCACCTTAGCGCTAAGATGGCTTTGAGGAATGGGGCCCTGGTCAATTCCTTCATTCCAGCTGGTACCAGGTTTCTAAATAAATTTTGTGATAAGTAATTGTTGAGCATTTATTCGCTAGTGCCACATCTAATGTTATTGCGATCGTGATGCTCTTGTGTAATTGTATGTGTGTTTCTAAGAAGCTGAGACTTTGTGCTGATCTAGCCCAATTTTACTTTGGGGTAATAAAGTGTTATCTTAGATTCACCCCATTCACATTGAAACAATAACACTTAGAATGAATGTTTACTGGACATTAATAGGTTTGTCAATACAGACTGTTGTGACATTAAGTGATAAGGTAAGGGGAAGTGAAATGGGATTTAATGTCGCACACAAGATTATTTCACTTATATAGTGACATACATGTGTGTGTGTGGTTGCTTGTACTAGTCTGACAAGTTTCAATTCTATAATGCTAGCCCACTGAGATACCATCCCGCAGTTTAACATGGATACCACACTCAGACACAGTATACTAACTCCGAGCCAGTCCTTGATTTTTCCCCTTAATGTCGAGCACCATCAGGGTAACAGCAAGTCTTTTGGTATGACGCGACCAGGAGTCAAACTACTACCTTCCATTCTCTGGGCAGACACTCCATCCACCCGACCATGGAGGTGGTCTTTATGTGATGAAAGATTTCCTGGTGTCACCTGGGGCTTATGATACACCTTGTTGTGGTACAATAAGTATCTCCATGGCATGATACAAAATATGATACATAACTCCTCTTGTTAAGGTGAGTGAGTGAGTGGGTTGGGTTTAACGCCGCTTTTAAAAGCATTCCATTTATATCACGGCGTGTCAGCTTAATGTGGGAGGAAAGCCCGAAGTGATGCAGGTCTCAGACGTTTCCAACTTCGGTGAAACCCACGAGCACGGGTGTGGTGCTGACAAACCTAGAAACATAATTTGGGAGAACCGGGATTCGAACACACAATCATAGGTTTCTGGCGTGCCCAAGGGACGCAGCTCTGCACAGCGAATCGCGGCGCCTTAGACGACTGGGCCACACGTGCCCCCTCTGGAGATACAATGCCAAGGAAAGATATCATGGCCAAACCATAGCATATCTCGTATGGGACAAGGTAGGTTAAATGCACTTTTAGGCACTGGAAATGTACTGGGTACCCGGTAGGGAGAGATGATAATGTGACAGTTAAACCTTCTAGCCTCTCAAAGCCAGATTTGGCTGTATACTCCCCAGGGGGATGAGTGAGTGAATATGGTTTTACGCCGCTTTTAGCAATATTCCAGCAACATCACGGCGGGGGACACCAGAAATGGGCTTCACACATTGTACCCATGTCGGGAATCGAACCCGGGTCTTCGGCGTGACGAGGGAACGCTTTAACCACTAGGCTTCCCGACCGCCCCCCCAGAGGGGATGAGTTAATGAGTGAGTATGGCTTTATGATGCTTTTGGCAATATTCTAGCAATATCACAACAGGAGACACCAGAATTGGGCTTCACACATTGCACCCATGTGAGGAATTGAACCCGGGTCTTTGGCATGACGAGCAAATGCTTTAACCACTAGGCTACCCCACTGCCCCCCAGGGAGCGGAGAATGATAATAGAGTGCACACACTGATCCATAGCCAGGGGTAATTATGTTAGCCATTTGAGCATGAAACTCTTGTATGGAGTCTAGCACAATATAAGAACATACATTATTAAAATTTGAAAGTTACAGAAAACTTACTGTCCAGTACTAGTACCATAGTACAAAGTATCACCAAACCATCGGTGACTGGTTACACTGGAATCTGCTGACATTGCCAGTACTACGTACCTGAGACTGCGGAAGCGGGGTGTGCTCCTCCATCTTGTAGGATGCTGCGTGATGTCTCTCTTGAGTAATCAAGTAGGTTACACCGGCAGGTCTCTACACTGGCATTTCACTCCCTGCACAACAAGACAACACACTTACTCCATGACATGCTTATTATAATGCAAGTGAATCTGGTATGGCAATTATGCTACATGAATAATGCATGGCAACAATTTGTCAACACTCAACACACCCTAACCCTAACCCTAACCCTAACCCTAACCCTAACCCTAACCCTAACCCGTCACAGGTAAAGTAGCATTCCTTGCTGACCCGCACTACAGATGATGATGGAAACTTTACAAGAACATGAAGATGAGAAAGTATGGTGAAACCTCTTTTACTCCATCTTCTGACCCTCTGTGAATCCTCCTGTTGTGACTGCTCCCCAGCAACCTGATCGTAAGGGGTGACTAAATGGATTGACTGGTCCATTTGTTGATTGGGTGTCTTCGAACCCTGATGGATCATTGCTTATATCAATTACTGGATTGTCTGGTCCAGACTCGGTTATTTTATTATATAGCTGGAATATTGCTGTGTGTGGCATTAAATACACACATGCACACACACAATTCTTTTCTCTTAATGAAGATGAACACAGTTTGTGATGCTGTACAAAATTGATATCACTGACGAAAAGATGTGCATGCTTCTCTCCTGAACTACAGTAATGTAAGTTTGTTCACCCCACAACTAGCTAAAGAAGTGTAGTTCTTTAATGACATAGTTTTCGTCAGTCTATCATGAGTGTGAATCAATGAAGCTGAGGATCAGCATAAAAGTCAATTCAATCATGGCACATAGTGAATTCTTTTGAATTCATTTAGAAATTTAGCATAATTTAAGAAGTTCATGTCTGTCTATACAAAGCGCCCCTTTCAATCTGTGATGGATAGTATCTGATTTCTGGGCAAGTTTCAGGTGTTCCACAAACAGTGATTTTATGTGTGCTTCATCAACCTGAAATTTTAACCATCTTCAGCAATATTCCAGCCATATTCCAATAGGGTCTTGACATGTCGCAGCCGTTTTGGTATTGAACCTGCATCTTTGGTGTGATGAGCCACAGCTTTAACCACTAGACTTCCCCACTGCCCTTAACAGTTTCGATAGATGAATATAGACGAGGAGGAGAAGGACAAGGATGGAGAGAAAAACTCATCATTTAACAACTGTTTAGAAACAATATATTAGATGATTATCCTGATCATGAGTAACTGTCATCAGCAGTAGATTTTGATATATGTAGCTGTGTTGGTATTTCAGATGCTCCTAATGTCAGTTACTGATTGCGTTGATATACACCTGACTGGAGGGATCAGTGGGGGAGACCCACTTTGTGGAATGTCTTTATAGCCAATTACTTGAACCAAGTAGGGTAAGTCTTTTGTCCTCAATTTACACAATAGATCATTCAAAGATTATGTACATCATGTACATAGTCGCACAAAGGTACAGTCTTATGGTTCACTAAATACATGCTGATTCGTATATTATATAGGCCCTTGGTATTGTTCACATCATCAGCTGTGTGCATACTATACAGACATCTCATTGAGGGACATCTCCCATACAGACATCTCATTGAGGACATCTACCATACAGACATCTTATTGAGGACATCTCCCATACAGACATCTCATTGAGGACATCTCCCATACAGACATCTCATTGAGGAGGACATCTCCCATACAGACATCTTATTGAGGAGGACATCTCCCATACAGACATCTCATTGAGGACATCTCCCATACAGACATCTTATTGAGGACATCTACCATACAGACATCTCATTGAGGGACATCTCCCATACAGACATCTCATTGAGGACATCTCCCATACAGACATCTCATTGAGGAGGACATCTCCCATACAGACATCTTATTGAGGAGGACATCTCCCATACAGACATCTCATTGAGGACATCTCCCATACAGACATCTCATTGAGGGACATCTCCCATACAGACATCTCATTGAGGAGGACATCTCCCATACAGACATCTCATTGAGGAGGACATCTCCCATATAGACATCTCATTGAGGAGGACATCTCCCATATAGACATCTCATTGAGGAGGACATCTCCCATACAGACATCTCATTGAGGAGGACATCTCCCATACAGACATCTCATCGAGGAGGACATCTCCCATACAGACATCTCATCGAGGAGGACATCTCCCATACAGACATCTCATTGAGGACATCTCCCATACAGACATCTTATTGAGGAGGACATCTCCCATACAGACATCTTATTGAGGAGGACATCTCCCATACAGACATCTTATTGAGGAGGACATCTCCCATACAGACATCTTATTGAGGAGGACATCTCCCATACAGACATCTCCCATACAGACATCTTATTGAGGAGGACATCTCCCATACAGACATCTCATTGAGGACATCTCCCATACAGACATCTCATTGAGGACATCTCCCATACAGACATCTTATTGAGGACATCTCCCATACAGACATCTCATTGAGGACATCTCCCATACAGACATCTCATTGAGGAGGACATCTCCCATACAGACATCTTATTGAGGAGGACATCTCCCATACAGACATCTCATTGAGGACATCTCCCATACAGACATCTTATTGAGGACATCTACCATACAGACATCTCATTGAGGGACATCTCCCATACAGACATCTCATTGAGGACATCTCCCATACAGACATCTCATTGAGGAGGACATCTCCCATACAGACATCTTATTGAGGAGGACATCTCCCATACAGACATCTCATTGAGGACATCTCCCATACAGACATCTCCCATACAGACATCTCATTGAGGAGGACATCTCCCATACAGACATCTCATTGAGGACATCTCCCATACAGACATCTTATTGAGGAGGACATCTCCCATACAGACATCTTATTGAGGAGGACATCTCCCATACAGACATCTTATTGAGGAGGACATCTCCCATACAGACATCTCCCATACAGACATCTTATTGAGGAGGACATCTCCCATACAGACATCTCATTGAGGACATCTCCCATACAGACATCTCATTGAGGACATCTCCCATACAGACATCTTATTGAGGGACATCTCCCATACAGACATCTTATTGAGGACATCTACCATACAGACATCTTATTGAGGAGGACATCTCCCATACAGACATCTCATTGAGGACATCTCCCATACAGACATCTAATTGAGGAGGACATCTCCCATACAGACATCTTATTGAGGAGGACATCTCCCATACAGACATCTCATTGAGGACATCTCCCATACAGACATCTTATTGAGGAGGACATCTCCCATACAGACATCTTATTGAGGAGGACATCTCCCATACAGACATCTTATTGAGGAGGACATCTCCCATACAGACATCTCCCATACAGACATCTTATTGAGGAGGACATCTCCCATACAGACATCTCATTGAGGACATCTCCCATACAGACATCTCATTGAGGACATCTCCCATACAGACATCTTATTGAGGGACATCTCCCATACAGACATCTCATTGAGGACATCTACCATACAGACATCTTATTGAGGAGGACATCTCCCATACAGACATCTCATTGAGGACATCTCCCATACAGACATCTCATTGAGGAGGACATCTCCCATACAGACATCTTATTGAGGAGGACATCTCCCATACAGACATCTCATTGAGGACATCTCCCATACAGACATCTTATTGAGGACATCTACCATACAGACATCTCATTGAGGGACATCTCCCATACAGACATCTCATTGAGGACATCTCCCATACAGACATCTCATTGAGGAGGACATCTCCCATACAGACATCTTATTGAGGAGGACATCTCCCATACAGACATCTCATTGAGGACATCTCCCATACAGACATCTCATTGAGGAGGACATCTCCCATACAGACATCTCATTGAGGAGGACATCTCCCATACAGACATCTCATTGAGGACATCTCCCATACAGACATCTCATTGAGGACATCTCCCATACAGACATCTCATTGAGGACATCTACCATACAGACATCTCATTGAGGAGGACATCTCCCATACAGACATCTCATTGAGGAGGACATCTCCCATACAGACATCTTATTGAGGAGGACATCTCCCATACAGACATCTCATTGAGGAGGACATCTCCCATACAGACATCTCATCGAGGAGGACATCTCCCATATAGACATCTCCCATACAGACATCTCATTGAGGAGGACATCTACCATACAGACATCTCATTGAGGAGGACATCTCCCATACAGACATCTCATTGAGGAGGACATCTCCCATACAGACATCTCATTGAGGAGGACATCTCCCATACAGACATCTTATTGAGGAGGACATCTCCCATACAGACATCTCCCATACAGACATCTCATTGAGGAGGACATCTACCATACAGACATCTCATTGAGGGACATCTCCCATACAGACATCTCATTGAGGACATCTACCATACAGACATCTCATTGAGGAGGACATCTCCCATACAGACATCTCATTGAGGACATCTACCATACAGACATCTCATTGAGGAGGACATCTCCCATACAGACATCTCATTGAGGGACATCTCCCATATAAACATCTACCATACAGACATCTCATTGAGGAGGACATCTACCATACAGACATCTCATTGAGGGACATCTCCCATACAGACATCTCATTGAGGACATCTACCATACAGACATCTCATTGAGGAGGACATCTACCATACAGACATCTCATTGAGGGACATCTCCCATACAGACATCTCATTGAGGGACATCTACCATACAGACATCTCATTGAGGAGGACATCTCCCATACAGACATCTCATTGAGGGACATCTCCCATATAAACATCTACCATACAGACATCTCATTGAGGAGGACATCTACCATACAGACATCTCATTGAGGGACATCTCCCATACAGACATCTCATTGAGGACATCTACCATACAGACATCTCATTGAGGAGGACATCTACCATACAGACATCTTATTGAGGAGGACATCTCCCATACAGACATCTCATTGAGGGACATCTCCCATACAGACATCTCATTGAGTACATCTACCATA